AGAAGGAGTTCCTGAATCCTTTGTCGAAAAATGCGGGTAGTTGAAGGGTTCATGGATCAGCTTTACATGGTTTGAGTTCGGTTTCGGGTTCTATGCGTAGTCCTGCACATTCGAGTCTCGTGTTGGATCCCCAACAGATCACGTCGCTCTTTCAACAAAGCAAACAAAGAGGGCCCAAAGCGTCCTACACCCGAAAACCCAACACCCGAAACCCTTCAGCCCAACAAAGGCAACGTCCTAGAGGTTTGATCAGTGACACTACATCCCTAAGAGATCGCCCCCCCCAAATCCCCTACCAAGCCACATAGAAACCGTATGCAGACAGGTTGAGATGTCTAGCTGGCTGCAGACTCACGATGAGGCGATCTTCAATGCTGAGGCTCGTCGGTAGTGGCACGAAGCAAGAGCAAGCGAACACATGTCATGGACTTGGCCAATGCATCCAACCCTACACCCTACACCCTGAACCCTACGCCCTGAGCCCTAATCCCTAAACCCCAAGCCCAACGCCTTGGTTGTGGGGCTTTGGAGCAACTCAGCCCTAACCCCCCAGGTACCTACTATATCCCTTAGCATCCGAGACCTCATATTTGAAGGTCTCGGCAAAGTCCTTGAAATATGCGGCATCAGGGGTTTGGGATTAAAAAATATGGAATCGGGCTGATAGTGGTTTTGGTAGTCCTTAAAATGGGCTGATAGTGGTTTTGGTAGTCCTTAAAATAACTACATATAAGCCATCATATCCCCAAAACTGCATTACCCCTGCCTGTACATCCCCAAATTCCTTCGCCTCGAGTCTTCATCTGCAGGACTTAGCATCAAAATAGCCCAGAAGCCTGATATAATTGGGTCATATTATGAGTCTTGGCCGGGGTAGAATCGAACTGCAAGGTTATGGTTTAGGGGGCTGAGGCAATTTAGGGCTTTAAGGCTCGAAGAACTCATCATATCCTCTTAAGAACCAACGGATCTTCTTTCCAGCCTTCAGCTTCGGTTCGCGATCGGTGCAGCTGTTCATTGCACCAGGGCGGAGCTAATAGCAATAAGCATAAGGTCTGAACTTTAAGGTTAACCTTGTATAACTTAAGTTATAAGTACCAGCCATATCTCCCTACGCCCGGCGGCTGCCAGTGCTGCTCAGTGCTCCCGCGCGCGTCTTGGCCGGGACATTCTTGTACCTGGGCGAATTGAGGGTTCTCAGGGTCTGAGGGAGGTGGTCAAACCCATATTTGAAGCCGGGAAGCCCCAAGTACCATTTTTGGAGCAGCGTTTTCTCCAAACCTTGGCGGGCGGGCTTCTGAACCACTGCTTTGAAGCTACTGTACCCAGCCTCCTCAAAAAGTTGCCGAATAAAAACCAAGACACCATCCTGTTGGCACTTTTGTGCTAGACCTCGGAGAAAGAACTATTGACATCACAACTTGGCTTGCATGCTTTTATGGGACATCATGCATAACTTCGCTGAGATTCGTTTGCCATATTTCATGGCAGCTTCGTCACGGAAGCAATGGTAATACTTGCACGAGTATCGCTGCTCCAGCATGTCCAAACCCAGGTGATGCATCACGTGATGCTTTGGCCGTATCTGCCAGGCCATCCTCGGATGAAGTACAACAAAAAATTGCTTTAGCTCCAAAACTCACACAACGACTTCGATGCATACTTATTTGAGATCGGGCACTCACCAGCATGAGCTGCCTGCTTGGCCAGCTTCGAGTAGGCTTGCAAGTGAAGCAGGCAAACATCCAGCAAGCCTTGGGCTTCCTTGGCTCAGGAACTACATTTTCAATAGAAATTTTAATAAAATTGTAGAAAAACTGGACAGAGCATCCATGCCGCACTATGGTCAACGTCCAGCATCATTTCGCGACAGATAGCGCTTCGATGCTTCGAGTCTGCAGTAGAATGCATGCATGGCCCAGCAAGCCTGGGCTCCCAGTATGAGCCGCTCCGTCCGGTGATGCTCTGCAGCAGCAGCCATCTCGCTTGCCAGCCACGAAGTGATTATCCGGCTGTTGTAAGCCTTGGATGCTATCGATATCGAGATTCAATTGAAACCAAGGCTTCAAATCTGGGATATTGACAAGACCTTATGCTTGGGATTTTGGGCAAAGCTTAGAGGCTTAGAGGGTCGTGGTTTCGAAAGTTGAGGAGGTATGAGGTTGGGTCAAGGGAGTTTTGTCTTCGGAGCTAGAATTTCCTAATTTTCCGTGCTTCTAATAAGAACTAACTCGGTTATTGGTTTGGGCTTCTGGATCATGACATATATACTTGGCTTCCTTAGCACATATGTAAGTGAACCATGAGGTCGAGTAAGTACTGCTACACCTGTTCGGTGAATTTAAAATGAACACATGCTACCATATTCTGATCTAGGATCTTTGCTCCGAAAGGAGCAGCTCTCTTCGCCACTGTTGACATACATCCACGGTTTGAATATCGGCTGTCCACATTTGATCTTGTGACGACTGCAGAAATCCTTGAAGTCACGAAATGCATTTCGGTAGCGGTCAGCCACTGTGCCGCCTGGAAACCAAGAAACCTTCATCAATTCATAAAAGCACCCACCATTGTTGAATAAACCAGCTCCAAGTTGTATGGCGTGCATAGCACACCAGCGTATCATAGAATAGTGAAAGCCTTTGATGTAGATGAGGCTGCAAGCACTGCTTCCCAAGATTTCAGTTAAGAAAACCCTATGGGAGCGAATGGTGTGCGACCATGCCGGTTGTCGCGTGAACTCCAGCATGCTGCAGGCAGGGTTTGCTCTCGAAGCTTCACAGATATGGCAAACGTTGTTGGAGGTAAAGGCTGCCTTGACCAACCCCCATACTTGCTGGTGGTGCTTCCAATCCCCTCTGAGTTCTGTCAGCCGGAATCGAATGTTCTGGCCGTGACACTCGTACATCGGTTTTCCAGGGATGTAACGTCCACAGGGTGTTAGAGGGGTGTTGTCAAAAGACATCGTCGGATAGTTCCCCTGATACATCAGGTTGATGCTGTAGGCTACATAGGACCATATGGGCCCCCAGCTTTGCTCACCCAGTGATTTCTCCGTTCGCAGAACACATATCGGAAAGCGTGTGTCAAAGACTGTTTTGCTGTCCTCATACAAAGGAAAACCTGGACAAACAATTAAGTTTCTCAGATACCCAGGGCTTACAGGTTTAGGGATGCTCAGGGTTTAGGGCTTGAGGGTTTTAGGGAGGGCTTACAGGTTTAGGGATCCTCAGGGTTTAGGGCTTGAGGGTTTAGGGCTTTAGGATGAAAAATAGCATAAAGTCATCAAGGTCAGAGCCCATAGGACAGGGAGCTCATGAAAAGAATGGTTATCTTCTCCTTTGACAGTGTGTACTCTGCTTCATCTGCATACAAGGATACGGGTTGGAAGTGGTTCGACTCTGACAGCTCAGGATGCTCTGCTGCTGGCCCTTGCATCCAGGCGAAACCTTGGCGGCGATGATGTTCCCAGTACTCACGGCCTTTGGTCTGGTTGAAGTTAATGTAGCCATTGTGCAACAACCAGCTAGTCAAGAGGTGTGGAGGGACGATGCTCAAGTTCTCGTGTTTGGACTCCATACACTTTTTGATGTGCGGCTTCGATCGTACAGGGATAGACACAGTGTCCAAAGGGAGATCCTGGGCTTCGAATCACGATAGCGGAATCGGATAGGCACACACACACACACTCGCTACTGTAAACTTTATTGTTGTGGGTTGGCCTCACTCGATTTGTGCAGCCCCGGGGGGCCATGCTAATAATTGATGCCAGTGACAAGTGCAAGCAAGCAACCCAGCTGGATGCCGTTCGACCTTTCATGTCTCGCCACACATTGCCAGGCTGCTGGCCAGAATTGCCACAAGTAGAGAGTTGCTGAACAGTACCAGGGGTTTGGCTGCCAAGCTCCTGAGCAAGACAGCTGTATTGGGGTTTAGAGGCTAATTAGGGCATTTATAACACGTGGAGACTTTAGAACTTCTCGGTTTATGGTCGTGCATAGCTAGGGCAACTAGGGTATTATGGGTTTTGGCCTTTACCTTCTATTGCTATAGGTTTATTTAGGTTTGAGGGTATATAGGTTTTCAGGGCTTGAGGGGCTTTGGCAGATTGACTACGATTGAGCAGGCCATGAGGGGGTTTTCAATCTAAAGTTCATTCACATTTCCAAGATGAACCGTGCATAGTTTCGATGAAGGGTTTGGGAAAACCACTGAACACATAAAACCCATAAGACCTAGACCGTAATTATCGTGATCTAATACATAAGTACATTGCAATAAACCACTACCCGGCTTCGTTTCGAGCACCGGTCGAAGCTTGGAAGCGCGAAACCCAATATAATAGAAAACCGCACAGTCTATCCATAATCTTTGCACAAAACTAACCCCAAGCCTCTCACCCTAAATCCCCGAAGCCATAATCACCCCCATAGCCAAGCAGCGGACTCGATGGCTTTTGCGATGTCCTGAGCAGCCAAGGAACTGAACTCCTTGGCTCGATGCACTGCTCAAGCTGCTCGCTGCTGCTGCTGGCTGCTGACTGCTGCAGGACTGGGACTTTTGTCTAGCGGCACCAGTGCCGACACCGGCAAGTAATCGGCGCTTGATTGCACCCGGCACACCTGCGGAGGGATCGTAGAAGCGGGCAGTGCACTGTATTGCGAAACATCAGAGAACCCCCTAATGGCAAGCCTGACTCTTTCCCGGTTTCGCAGACACACAGGTGCTTAGTGCCGAGGCAGGTTCGCATCCTAAGCTGCATGCCTGATTAAACTGCACGAGCACCTGGTGGCTTTGCTATTCGGAAACAACATGCTATATTATGCTCTAGCTACAAATGAAATTTAGCACGAGCTCCCAGGCCAACTAAGCAGTTCAAGCAGCAGCCGATAATATCCCGCCACCCCTGGACGAAATCTCATCCGAGTGAGTGCAGCTTTTGCTCACTGCACACAAGAACCAAAAACGGTGTGGTCACAGCCACACACTCGAAATCGGCCCTACTTCTTTCCAGCCTTTCCTTTGGCCTTGGGCTTGGGAGTCTGCTCCGATGGCATGGCCTTTTTCACAGACCTCATTTTGTTATCGAATGCAGTGATAGCATTCGTCAGATCTGTCGTCGCTTTGAGCTTGGCGTCGTCGTTCACGTCACCAGAGATGCACTCCTTCAAAGTAGCACAACTGTCCTTCAAGGTCTGGATCACCTGGTCCGAATCGGCCATCAGAGCATCCACGAACTTCTTTCCCCTCAGATATCACTCACAATCAAGCATCAGCTCAAGTAGTATGGCCACAGACATGACACAGGAAT